TCTGTCTCCGGAGAAAAAAACAGGCCACACTGGAGGAGGTAAGTCAGATTTCTAAACTTTCTTGGACCATCTTCATATCTATAACTTCTCAAAATTTCTTGTATAATTACCAGGCTTTCTAAAAAATAATTAACTTTTTAATTTTGTTTTTCTCATTAAATATCCTAATAATTTACATTTTAAAGTTGCAAAAGAACATTCACTTATAACATTTCATTTGATACTCAAAATCTTGGGAGATAGATACTGCAGTAAGGTTACTGTATTTACCCATGTATAATGTGCACACACGTTTTCGGCCCAAACTTTCAGGGAAAAAAATGTTCACTTTAATCTTTTAGTTCAATTATTTATTTGTTTGCTTATTCATTTACATTTACAAACGAAACCAATTATTGTATTCCAGGTATTATTTTGCATATGGATATTATTATTGCTTTCTAGAGTTATACTTTTAACACATAAGCATAAATAAGAGAATTTAAAATATGTAGCTTCTGGCCAAGATGGAGGCATAGTTGGATATGCTTTACTTCTTCACACAACCAAAAGGATAACGTTGCATTTAAGAAGATAAAACAACCAGAACTGCCAGAAAATCGAACTGTATGGAAGTACAACAACCAAAGAGTTAAGGAAGAAACATTCATCCAGATTGGTAGGAAGGTCAGAGAGGAGTCAAGGTGGGGCAGCAGCTGATGGACCGGGGAGTCCCACATTCAAGTGCTGACAAACTGGAAGGGACAGCTAGGGAGCAAGATGGACTGTGCAACCCAGGGTTTCAGCACAGGAAAAGAAAGTCTCAAAACCTCTGGCTATAAATATCCGCGGGGGTTGCAGCAGCCAGAGAAACTGGCAGTCCAACAGGAGAGTCTGATGGAGGGGCCTCTAGGGTTCTAGAACATGCACAAGCCCACCCACCTGGGAATCAGCACCAGGGAAGCACCTCAAAGAGCACAGTTTGCTCATGGGGAGCGGCGGGAAGTGACTGAAAGCAGGGTGAAAGCTGCGCAAATGGCATTGTTCCCTCTCTGACTCCTCTCCCACACACAGTGCCACAACCCAGCCAAGTGGGTTGCCCTACCCTGCCAGATAACTAAGGCTCCGCTCCTTACTATGTAAGAGGTGCAACATAAGAGAAAAAGAAATATGGCCCAAATGAAAGAACAGATCAAAACTCCAGAAAAAGAACTAAGCAACGAGGAGATAGGCAACCTATTAGACACAGAGTTCAAAACACTGGTAATCAGGATGGTCAAAGAAATGATTGAGTAAGGCCTCAAAATAAAAGAAGTGAAGGCTATACAAAGTGAAATAAAGCAAAACATACAGGGAACCAACAGTGAAGGGAAGGGAACCAGGACTCACATCAATGATTTGGAACAAAAGGAAGAAATAAACATTCAAAAAATGAGGAAAGGCTTAGGAACCTCTGGGAAAACTTTGACCATTTCAACATCTGAATCATACAGGTGCCAGAAGGAAGAACAAGAAATTAAAAACTTACTTGAAAAAATAATTAAAGAAAACTTCCCCAGTCTGGTAAAGGAACTAGACATGGGAGTCCAGGAAGCTCACAGAGTCCCAAAGAAGTTGGACCCAAGGAAGAACAACTAAGACATATCATAATTACATTACCCAAGATTAAAATGAAGGAGAGAATCCTAGAAGCAGCAAGAGATAAGGGGACAGTCACTTACAAAGGAGTCCCCATCAGACTGTCAGCTGATTTCTCAAAAGAGACCTTACAGGCAAGAAGGGGCTGGAAAGAAGTATTCCAAGTCATGAAATCCAAAAACCTACAACCAAGATTGCTCTATCCAGCAAAGCTTTAATTTAGAATGGAAGGGCAGATAAAGTGCTTCTCAGATAAGGTCAAGTTCAAGAAGTTCATCATCACCAAGCCCTTATATGAAGTGTTAAAGGGACTTATCTAAGAAAAAGAAGATGAAAAACATGTATATAAAATGACATGTTATTGTCAAACTCATTATTAACATGTCAAACTCATTATTAACAACCACACCTAAAACAAAAACAGAAACAAACTAAGCAAACAACTAGAACAGAAGTGGAACCACAGAAATGCAGATCACATGGAGGGTTAGCAACAGGGGAGTGCGAGGAGGAGAAGGGGGGAGAAGGTTCTCTGTTTGAATTAAATGATGACCACTGATGGTTTAAGTAGATTAGTTATTGAAGAAATCACAAAGTTCTCCCCAATCTTATGGCTGTAAGAACTGAAATAAACGAGTCAGTCCCTGGCTTCTGCTTATTTTCAGGCATTTTCTCAAAAGGATTTGTTCTGTTGACATGACTCTTAGTTATAATACATTTCTGGGCAATCCACTTGCATTGTTTCATTACCAAATGAATGTACTGGCTTTAAGAAAAACTAGCCTTGCACTAGGTTTGGTCATATTTATGTTCCTAAGACTAATCATCAGCTTTTATATACACTGCTTCCCTCAGAAGCAGTCCACTGGAGCTGTCTTATTCAAGAGGTCTACATTGAAGCTGGACACTTTGTTTTTGTCTTTCACCTTCAATGAAATACTGATGTTTGACAAGGGCCTCAGTTTGGATATGCATTTTGGAGGTAGCTGTAGGACAGGAAAATGGTCTGGAAAACAAGATAGCCCAAGTTTGAACCTTAGCTCTGTGTCACACATGGGTGTGTGTGATTTTTCCACTCTGAGCCTCAGTTTCCTTGCTGTAAAGTATTAGATAATGATGTCTTCCTTGCAAAGCTGTTAGAAGATTGCAATTAGATGTTCCTAAAGCACTTGGACTGTGTTTGGCACGTAGTAAGCACTCGATAAATTCTAGTAATGAAATTCCTACCAGCGTCAGATCTCTAAGGTTTACATTTTTTTTAAAAAGTGACTGCACTAATTGAAGACTTTTTCACTAATTTTTTTCACTGAAGAACAAGAGGTTTTCTTTTAGCATCTGCAGAAGAGACAGGGATCAACCTGCATGAATATTGCACTGGTAAGAATACTATTATCAATTATATAGTTGATACACTGAAATAATCCAGTGAAAATAAAACGATGAAAGTTAAAAAAAGTGACATAGACTGGACAAAAGTTTATTTGTATGTATAATTTTCTGAGAAGTTGCATAGTTTTCATTATATTCTTAAAAGATTTGTAAAATGAACTTTGAAGGGAAAACTGGTCAGTGACTATGAAAAACAACTAAATGAACACTTAGTACAATGATCAGGTTTACTCCCAAGGAACCTCTATACACAGATTTCCCACTGCAGCTTCACCCAACCTTTAATATAGATAGTCCTTTACTTTCCCACTGGACAAAGGACCTGCTCACCTCTCCTATCTAGAAAAACAGTGAATGGTCCAATTTTTTTATGATCAAGTTTTAGAGACAGTCGAATCCAGACTTAAAATATGGCTCCATATAAACTGTGTGACATTTAAGTCATTTAACGTCTCTGAATGTCAGTGTCTTAAAGTATATCCTCCCTGTTACACTCCTGATTTGGGAAGAGAACTTTACAAGGCACTTACTGGAGAAAAGTGAGGGATAAAGATTTCAGTAAGTCTTCTGATGCTCCTGGAAAGGAACTAATGACAAGGATAGCTGGGAAAGGCAAGTCGGGCTTATATAGGACGTGTGGACGAGGCTGGTTTCACGAACACCCGAATAGATGAGTTCAAAATACAGGGTCCGGCAGAAGTAATGCCTTTCTTGAGTGTGGTTGGTAGGGTCACAATATGGGTGTAATAATTTATAATTTTAACTTGAACACTTTACCTAAAAATACCATATGGTGTGCTCGAGTGTGATTTTGTTATGTTACAGAAGTACATGCTTACGATTTTGTAATAAAAATTATCCATGCTGGACCCTGTTGCATTCTTTGTGGGGGTGCTGAAAAAGCCCACCCAGCTCCCTAAATTTCTTTCACTGTCATCCTGTCTGAAATTCCATCCATAGAAATAATTCTTTTGGGTCGCTATGAGCCCCCGGGAGGGGACCAATGTCTCCTGAGAGGTTTATGCCTCTCTTTTTGAACCCCCTAAGGAGCTAGCCAATAATGGTTCAAGGTGATAGCCTTCTCAAGGGCACTTAGTCCCTTCACAGGAGAACAAAATTGAGCCACCAACAGTTTCTGCTTTCAAGACTGGGAAGGCCCTGGTGGATGCGAGTGAGGGTGAGGGAACTCAGAGATCCCTGTGAGGGACGAAAGCGAGGTCCCTAGGACAACATAAAGTGGAGAGGACAGAATGAGGTAGAAAGTGAGGCTGGGAAGAGTTGCGGGAGGAATGCCAAAAAGAGACTTCTCTTCTTCCCCAAATACGGCCCACTCGGTCAGGAGCTGGGGGTGAAACCTCACAGGTCAATCTTGCTTATTACAACACAAGAAACTGGCCGGGAATTTTAGTAGGGGAGTTGAAGTTCTTTCCAATGTGGGGGCTCACGCCCGGCCGGGGGGGTGGGATGGGCGGCGGGGCGAAGGCTGGGTGGAGGGGGAGGTGGTCTCCGAGGGGACAGGGCGGGGAGGAAAGGGGAGTGGGCAGACAGGGAAGATGCGGGGTCCCGGGTGTGAGGTGCAGGTGCGAGCCCCGCCTTCACCACTCGCTGACCCCGAGTCACTTGTGTATCTCCTTGTCCGCGTGCGTGTCAGGAGATAATGAACCAAAAGCTCCCGCACAGAACCTGGCATTTGGCTACCACTGGATAACTCGAGCCGCCGGCCCCCACCCCTCCGGACCGCTTCTCGTACTGGAAGCGCGCCCTGCTGTTGGCGCGTCCACAGTGTGCCGGTCACGCAGCTCCGTTCACTCTGCACCCTAACATCCCTAGACCCGACCCACAGCCCGTGAAACAGGGTTCGTCATTCTCGGCGTGCAAATGAGGAAGCCGCAGATTTAAGCAGCGATCGCACTGCCAAGCAACGGAGACTGGCTTGGGAGCTTCAAGGCTAGGGAAGCGTCCCTGAGGACAGGGGTAGGGGGCGCGGGGCTCACCCTTGAAGGTTTCAGGGCCCCGCCGGGCTTGGGGGTCCGATGCGTGCCTCTTCTCAGACATGCTGCCAGAGCCGGGGTCGCCGCTGTCCCTACGCGATCAAGCCAGACTCGGTGCCGCCGCAAGGAGTGCCCTAAGAAGACCCGAGTCCGGCAACTGTGCTGCAGTCCCGCCCCCTCCCCGCGGCCAGACCAATCGACGCCCAGTATTAAAGAGGACACGCCCCCTACGGTTACTTATCCGCCCTCCTCGCTGAGGACTTGGGGTGGGCGCTTCCCGCTTAGTTTTAGGGCTGAGGGGCGTGGTCGGGGGTGAGGCTACCCGAAGGCAGACCCGGAAAGAAGAAACCAGAGGTCACCAGGCAGGGGTCAGGGGTGAAGGTTTTGAGGAAGCGGCCAACTGGATGGCCCAAGGAACAGTTGGGAAGAAGGAAAAGTTGCGATTAAGGAAAAGGCGCCCTTCTGGACAGAGGAATGAGAAACGAAAATGGCGCCTCCCCTGAACTGGTGGGTCTGAGGGGAGGAAAGGAAGCAGAAGGGCACGAGGTGGCCAAAGGGAGGGCGCTGAGACAATCCCCGAACTGTAGGACCAGTGGTGTGAGGGGAAGGAACCGGAGCCACCCCCCTCAAGTCAAGCGAGTGAATTCGAGTGAGGTGCGTTCAACGTCCTGCGAGCACCTGCCGCCGGCCAAGCAGCGAGCTCCTTGCTGGGTCCAGCCGATGAGGCACCGACCCTGTGCCTCCCTCAAGGAGTTTACAGTCTAGTGGACGGACAAGCAACAAACTAACCAAACCATTCCACGTGGTGAAGGGAATGCGGGAACAGCAGATGGCATCAACTTTAGGGGATGAAGGGAAGCCTCTGCAAGGAGGTGGCATTGAGATGGGACCTGAAAGATGAGAAGGTGTCAGCCATGGGAAGGGGGACAGGTGGTGAGGGACGCCGTAGGTCGGAAAGGGTGTCCCAGGCAGAGGGAAAGCAGATCCAAGTTATCCCCAACCTCAAGCTGTTGAGTTGCGGCTCAAGACTCACATTTGAAAACCAGGCAATGTTTTATTCTCCATGAGTTGTCCTAAAGTAGAATGTTCAAAGTATGTTGATGGACATCACAAGGTGCACTTTCAAAAACATTTTATCCTGGGTTTTTAAAAGATTTTATCTATTTGTTTTTTAGAGAGGGGCAGAGAGAAAGAGAAGGAAACATCTATGTGTGGTTGCCTCTGTCTCACACCCCGCACTGGGGACCTGGCCCACAACCCAGGACGTGCACTGACCGGGAATGGAACCAACGATTCTTTGGTTAGCAGGCAGGCGGGTGCTGAATCCACTGAGCCACACCAGCCAGGGCTAAAAACATTTTATTTTGAAATAAATACAGATTCACAGGAAGTTGCAAATACAGGACAGAGAGGTAATATATATCCTCTACTAGGTTCACCACAATGGTTACATCAAATAGTTTACACAAAAGCCAGAAAATTGGCAGTGACACAAGATCTGTGTGTAGTTCTACATCATTTTATCACACATAGATTTGTATAATCACCACGGCAATAAAGATACAGAGTTATTTCAAGTTAGGGGCACTTTTTAACTTTTTTTAATGTGCTCAATATTTGGCTATATAATACCTAACACTTTGTAATGTTTGGGTAATATGAAGTGGTAGACTTTCTGGGTTTAGCTCTGGAGCCCTGTGGCAGTCAGGGCTGAAGTGAGTACGCACAATTGTGACTGGTGGGCTGTGGGGTGCAGAGTCTACTGTGTGATAAAGCCTGATACAAGGTGACTTCCAATCAAAGAACTTTATGAGCAAAGAACTTTATATTCATGGGATTGGCATGCATGCACTTGATTTATAAGCCTCCTGGATAAGATAAAGAGGGAAGTGTAGTAATATAATGATCTGTCTTTCCTAAGTCATCCTTGAGAAAGCCTACAGCTTCATATTTTCTGTTCTGCAATAGATAAGCCCCAGAGGCATGAACTGCCTGTTTATGCTGTGGTTCTCAGGAAAGAGAAGCAAATGCAGTAGGGGAGAGTTTTACTGCAAATTGCTTATTGTGAAAAAGTATTTAGCTTTCATTTTTGCTGGAAAGGAAAATATTTCAAAAATGAATTTCATGTTTGTATTCCTATGTGCTACCTTTGGGCAAGTCTCTAGGCAATCCCAGCAGCATCACTTCTGGAGAATCAGAAAAGATGCTTCTTCCTTTGGGACAAAGACTTTGGTAAACACGTGTTGGCTCTGGTTTCGGATTGCATCAGTTTGGGAGCTGATTGCAGGCCCCAAAACTGAGAACAAGTTTTAACTTGATTTTTAAATTACTTTCAGAATAGATGAGAGTTTCCAGACTTTTGATTTCAAAATGCTGAATTTCACTTGCCTGTGAAACTGGTGGATTCTGGCTTTCTCATGTATATTCTGTATAAATGTATTGATTAAACATATTTTAAAAATAAATATTCATGTATCATTCTCTCCCTTGGGGGGGAATTTCTAATCTTAAATTTTCTCTCTGGAGTGATTAGAAGTTAGAATGGGTTTTGAAAATTTTATGCCTAGACATATAAAACTACAAATAATTTGAACAGAGAGAATTACTTATTCTGTTAGCACCTCTAACAGACTTAGAAAATATGCTTTTTTCCCCTTTAGCTGTTATTTAAAGGATATTTGCATATAAGTTAAAATCAGAGTACTTTATATATTCCATATTTCTTTTATGTTTTATTTTGCTATTATTGCCCTAGCATATTCAGGGTATCAGATTGTGTTGATTGATGGTGATCGTGGTTACATTAAGACATGGCAATAAGTTTAAAAACAGACATGCGCTATGAATTCATAATTGAATAAGTCAGAAAGAAATTTAATTAGTCTTTTTCCTGTGTCCACACACGAAATGCTCTAATAAGAACAACAGGAAAGTCCTTACTTACTTTTTTACTTTAAATTTTAAGTCCAGGCTGTTCTCAATGCCTTTGGTGAAATCAACTAACCAGATACTTTGGAGGGAACAGCAAGACCAGCAAGTTAAATCTATTTGTGGTGTTTTCCCCAGGATGGAACTAGTCATTCTGATCTGTTTCTCTATGTGGACTAATTCACATTTATTGTATTACAGCAGCTTTTTTATCTTCCTAGCTCTTCTCATAAGGAAGTTACTTCAGGAATTGAATCATAACAAGAGTTTCACTGCAGGATTTTACAGGTTTGGGCGGTGGCAGCTGATGAACGTCATCACGGCACTTGGTAAGGGCCCCCTGGGAGTCCAGGTTCTCAGGTGTTATGAAAATAAAAAAGCATCAGGGAAGCATTGGTGGTATTTAACAGAGTCATTTATGGGAAGAATTTTATTGATCTGCTTTATTTATTAGTTGACTGGGCAAATATTTATTGAACAATGCCAGCCATTGTTCTAGGTGCTTGAGATACATCGGTGAACAAAAATTCCTGCATGGCGGAGCTTATATTCCAGTATTCCTTTTCACATGTATTAGTTTCCTAGGACTTACATAACAAAGGACCACAGATGGGATGGCTTAAACCAATGATTTTAACCCTTTTTTCTTTTTAAAGATTTGATTCATTTATCTTTAGAGGGGAAGAGAAGGAGAGAGGGAGAGAAATATCAATGTATGGTTGCCTCTCGTGCATCCCCCTGCTGGTAACTGACCCACAAACCAGGCTCGTGCCCTGACTGGGAATCGAACTGCAATCATCTGGTTCACAGGCCCGCATTCAGTCCACTGAGCTACACCAGCCAGGGTGATTTTCAACCTTTTTAATCTCAGGGCACACGTGAGCTAATTGCTGAAATTGTGCAGCACACCAAAAAAATATACTTTTGCCCATATGACAAAAAAAGGTATAATTTTTTTCTTTCTTTCCTTTTTAAAAATATATTCATTATGCCATTATAGTTGTCTCATTCCCCCCCTTCATTCCCCTCCACTCTGCACACCACTCCCCGCCATCCCCCCCCCTTTAGTTCATGTCCATGGGTCATAAGTTCTTAAGTTTCTACATTTCCCATACTATTCTTGCCCTCCCCCTGTCTATTTTCTACCTACTGTCTATGCTACTTATTCTCTGTACCTTCTCCCCCCTTCTCCTCCTCCCACTCCCCTGTTTCTAGCCCTCCATGTGATCTCCATTTCTGTGGCTCCACTCCTGATCTAGCTGTCCTCTTAGTTTGTTTTTGTTTTAGGTGTGGTTGTTAATAACTGTGAGTTTGCTGTCCTTTCACTGTTCATTTTTTTTATCTTCTTTCTCTCAGATAAGTCCCTTTAACATTTCATATAAGAATGGCTTGGTGATGATGAACTCCTTGAACTTGACCTTATCTGAAAAGCACTTTATCTACCCTTCTATTCTAAATGAAAGCTTTGTTGGATAGAGCAATCTTGGTTGTAGGTCTTTGGATTTCATGACTTAGAATACTTCTTTTCAGCCCCTTCTTGCCTGTAAGGTCTCTTTTGAGAAATCAGCTGACAGTTTGATGGGAACTCCTTTGTAGGTGACTGTCCCCTTATCTCTTGCTGCTTCTAGAATTCTCTCCATTTTTATCTTGGCTAATATAATTATGATGTGCCTTGGTGTGTTCCTCCTTGGGTCCAACTTCTTTGGGACTCTCTGAGTTTCCTGGACTTCCTGGAAGTCTATTTTCTTTGCCAGATTGGGGAAGTTCTCCTTTATTATTTGTTCAAATAAGTTTTCCACTTGTTGCTGTTCCTCTTCCCCTTCTGGTACTCCTATAATTCAGATGTTGGAACATTTAAAGATGTCCTGTAGGTTCCTAAGCCTCTCCTTATTTTTTTTTTTGCATTCTTATTTCTTCATTCTTTTCTGATTGGATGTTTCTTTCTTCCTTCTGGCCCACTCCATTGATTTGAGTCCCAATTTCCTTTCCATCACTATTGGTTTCCTGTGCATTTTGCTTCATTTCACTTAGTGTAGCCTTCATTTTTTCATGTAATTTACAACTAAGGTCAACCAGTTCAGTGAGCATCCTAATCACCAGTGTTTTGAACTGTGTATCTGATAGGTTGGCTATCTCTTTGTTGCTTAGAAGTATTAGCTCTGGGGCTTCGAGTTGTTCTTCTGCTTGAGCCATA